CCCCAAAACCCCAAAACCCCAAAACCCCAAAACCCCAGTCCTTTTCATATTAATTGAACCTGTTTATAATAAATATATTATTTGATAAACTTACGTAGAAATAAAATGGGCAATTGAACAACTGCGCAAATTAGAGATATGAGTAAGTCCAAGAAAGCCTGATGTTTATAGATGCACCAGGAACAAGAATCCGGTCTAAAAGTTCGAATTCATTTGAGTTCACCGAGAAATCATTGGATAAAAGCCAAAAGGTAAGAGTTAGTCAATAGTGCCAGGACCGAGTCCAAAAACTAGTGACTTATGCAGTCTAAGTGCTGATTTGTTAACGCTTTTTTGAAGTTGAAGCATTATCATGATTACTAATGTGCCGGTATAGGATTTCAAGCAACTTAGTAGGACATCAGCCACAAGTCACTTAACCATCCAGGTATGAGTCATTTCACCACTCCATATTTAAAATTCTTATCGTTCGTGTTTATGTCGTGCATTTTTGCATGAGCCTATAATTATTAGAAGATTCCTTTATTTTGATAGCTATTTGTCGAGGCTAACAATGGACTATTTTATAGACCATTATTTTTAGTGCTATAATTTTCAAACTCAAGTTGCATAAACTATTGCTTAATTTCCCTCACAATTTCGATTATTCTGATAGTTTTGTGGGGTTTTATCGATGCCAGTTTTTCATATTTTTGATGACCTTGGTGATCAATAGAAAATTTTATAAACTGAGATGAACTTATATGATACGTTAAAGAATTACATCATTAAAATTTTCCTATTACACAATTTTATCTGACTCTTCATGTAGAGAAGGAAAGCCAATACAGCTTGGGAGTCCAAACCATCCATGAACCTTACAAGTGACATGGAATCGAGTGCTGAGACTTGTACTGAAAATAGCCCAAAACTTGAGAAGAAGAGATCTACTTTTAAAAGTGTCATGAAGAAGCTCCTGAAAAATAAATCAAAAGAAACAAATCATGCGATGATACTCCTGAACGAGTGCATGAGAGACAACCTTAAGATCTCCCTTGAACACTGCGAGAACTTGATGAAATCTGCTGACCTAAAGGACCTGCAAAAAGCAAGAGATGCATACACTGGACAAGGCCTTCTTCATTTTTGCTGAAGTCAGGGCCACTTGGAACTTTTCGAGCCTCTTTTAGAAAAGGACCCTAATCTTGTCCATTGCAAAGATGATGATGGAAATACGCCTTTCCACAACTTGTGAAGTAACACCAAAAATAATGAAGCTGAGTTGATATCTATGTTCAATCTGATGATGAAAGAGAAGCTAGATATCAATATTGAGAACTCTATGGGAGTCACAGGGCTCCAAATTCTTCGAAAAAGAGCACATGAAAGCAACCCTTACGACAATATTAAAAGTGTAAAGTTATTCTATCAGCACGTATCAACTATGTGAGGTATTGAAACCAAGCCTTCCGAAAAGCGGTCAAGTATTATGTGGAGGGACTCTGAATACAACCGTTCTACCTTTTCCAGCTCTCGATCTTCAAAGAAGATCAGGAAACAACACAGTATGAGGAAACCTCGCACTAGAGAGAGTTTAGGCTCACAGATGAGAAAATCCAATGAAAAATTTGGATATTAACTTTCTAAAAATAATTAACTCTTTACGACGTACGACAGGTACTGGGGTTTTGGGGTTTTGGGGTTTTGGGGTTTTGGGG